CGCGTGGATTCCTTTTGAAGGGACTCCGTTTTGGCTGCAAATTTCGCTGAGCAACAGTGTAAAATTTTTACTTATTATTTCACTATGTTACTTTGACCCTGTCAAAAGCACAGTCTTAAATAAATAAATGTAATAAATGAGAGAAATTTGATAGGAAATCTTTCGCCCTCACGTGAAACTCCTGATCGCGCAGATTCCTTTTGAAACGGATCGATTTCGAGTCATTTTGAAATGAACCAATTATTTTCCCTTCAAAGTATTTAAAAATTTTACTGGGATCAATTAGACCATTACAAAAACACATTGTTAAATAAATAAATACATTTAATAATTAAAAGAAATTTACCAGAATATTTCGCCCTCAAGCTAAATTCCTGATCGCGCAGATTATTCCTATCAGAAGGACTAGATTTCACTGAGCAATGGTAAATGTGTAAAAAACGATAGTAGTCATTTTGCAGTTAACCTATTATTTTCCCCTTAAATTATTTTAATATTACTCTGTTTGGGATCAGACCTGGCAACCCTGATTCCTATAGAAATGAATCAGTTTTGTGAATTGACCACATCTTAGGAGCAACATTAACACTGATGCTTGCCTTCATAAAAACACCACTAATTAGTGTCCAGAAAACACCTTAATGATGTGCAAATATTGCCATCTCACAGAAGACTACAAGAACGTGAAATCTCACTTTGACACTCGCTGACCGCACAATGATACTTGACAGAAACAGAAGGACCAGCTCATCTGATGCAAGGCTGCGGCTCCTGAAGCTCTTCACTGCGATTCAAGTGCCCTAGATGGGGCAGTAAGTGAGCAATGACGTGTTTCTCCCACAATACAGCACTGCTGGCTGAATCCATCAAGACTTTCACTCTAAATGTTTCTTCCTCCGTCTCTGGAGTTCAACTCAGCATTGATCCGCCTCTCTGGTGCCCAGCAGAGCGCAGAGATGCTGCTTTAGTATTCGAGTCCAGCTCTTCAGATGGGCCTGTACGTCACAATATGAGTGCGTCTCTGCAGCAACACACAGCCGTGTTTCCTTACTGAATGAATTTGCATTTTAAACAAATTGGGTGAGTCAGTGATTCACTGATCCATTCATAAAAGCATTTTCTT